ATGGCTTGGCGGCTCAGAAGCAGGGCCGCCTGTCTCTAAGTCTCATCCAACCACCATGTTAATCATTGGGTACCATACATGCTTTCAAATAGACTAGCTGAAAAGAGGGGGAAAGTTTCAGTCCTCTGGGAAAGAAACTTCTCCATATCTCTGGTGGTCTGGCTCACCCCAGGGGGCAGGCTGAGGGTGATGGCAGGGAGAGAAGCTAGCAAATCAGGGTGGGGACCCTATCTGCCGTCCCCAGCCTTTGGGGGACCCAGGGAGCCCAGCACCAGCCGTGGTCCAGCTGGTCTAGGCATCCGCCGGGGGGAGATTTCTGAGGATGAACAGATGCCCCCATCCTGGTTATTTGGAAACCTGCTCGTCCCAACCATCTGGCCTTTGTGGTCTGCTAAATTCAGGGGCCTTTATTAGCAAGGTTCTTCTTGTGACCCTCATTTTTGTTTGTTTGTTTGTTTTTTTAAGGCAATTGGGGTTAAGTGACTTGCCCAGGGTCACACAGCTAGCAAGTGTCAAGTGTTTGGTCTGAGGCCGGATTTGAACTTAGGTCCTCCTGGCTTCAGGGCCACTGCTGTATCCACTGTACCACCTAGCTGCTCCTGTGACCCTTTGCCACTTTGCAGCACATCTGTATCTTGACATAGGAGTGAAATCGAGGCTGGCTTGGGCCAGGGCAGGGCTGTGGTGGGTGCCCAGCACCCCAGCATGGGTCACTGGTCTTCCAGCCCCCAGGAGGTCTCGCCAAGGCTCTGGAAAGCTTAGGTGTCAGACGGCTTGCTTTTTGTACGACCTCTATTTTGATTCAGTCCTTTCTGTCTGCCTGCCAAGTTGAAAGTGTTGTCCCCACTTCCAAGGACCCTCCTCTTCTTTGCTTGACTTGTTGCCTTCTGAGGTTTTCATCACTCTTCTAGTTCTTACCAGTCCCCTGGGGGTTAAGGCAAGGCAGACAACAGGGACAATTTGGTGAGGGTACAACCCACTGCTCTTGGGTGACTTCATCCCCCATGCCACAGTTTGGCCCGGAGACAGGAAGAACCTACATCTGCCCCAGGAATCTTTTACCAAGACCACCATCCTTGTTTCCTAGAAACTGTAGACGACTTGGAGTGGATGGAGTACAGATGGCGACCTCCCAAGCCTTCTGGGAGAGAGAAAGCATTCTGTCATGGAAAGCATGGCTTTTCTAGTAACCCCAAATGCATTCCCCTTCCAAGAGAAGTCCAAGCCTGTGAAGTAGGTTGAAGGTACCTTTCACCTTGTGGTAAAAGCAGGACTCCAGTAACCTTAAGTTGGTTCCCTTCTATGGGAAATAGAAACTACTATTATATTATATAAGATATATTATGTAGAAACTATTTCCAATGGAAAGTCCCTACTCTGATCTGCTTAGACAAGGGCTCAGGTAACTAGTGAAAATGCTCCCCCAGATGTCAAGGTTCCACCCCAGAGAGGGAAGTACTTAAAAGATTAGAAGATAGCAATGGGTACCTTAAACATGTCGGAAACAACCCCAAGATATACTGTGGAATCTTTTTTCAATGAAATGGTGCTAACCATGGCCCAGCGTCCCAAGCTCTGGGTTTACATGGATTGGGTTTTATCATGGAGCAGCTCCCAAAATGATATTTCTCTTTAGCTCATTTTGCCCTCACCCAGATTTTCCTTTGGAAAATCTTAGAATATGGCCCCAATTTTCTTCATATTTAGGTCTCTACAAATGTAAGTAAAAGGGTTCCCAGCTCCCCTTACAAGTACTTGAGGTAACATATTGGGAAGAGAGAAGCCTTTATTTTACCATTACTTTGCTCTACCAAGATATTCAGAAAATACAAAGTTCTCACAGTATCCTATAAACATGTGGTATAATCCTCCCTCACTGGGGCATCCCACCTTGCCATATAATATAATGATAATAATATAATTTATTGTATATAATATAATAATATACTATTATGCTTATAATAGTTTCTATATATTATATAATATAATATAATAGTAGTTTCTATTTCGCATAGAACGGAACCGACTTCAGGTTAGTAGAGTCCTGCTTTTACCCCAAGGTGAAAGGTACCTTCAACCTACCTCACAGGCTTGGACTTCTCTTAGAAGGGGAATGCATTTGGGGATACTAGAAAGGTCATGCTTACTTACTAGCTGTGTGACCCTGGGCAAGTCACTTCACCTTGTTTGCCTCAGTTTCCTCATGAGAGGAAATGACAAACCACTCCAGTATCTTTGCTAAGAAGACTCTAAATAGGGTCACAAAGCATCAGACCTGACTGAAAAATGACCGAACAATAAAAAGTATTTATATGGCACTATAAGGTTTCTAAAGAGCTTTACGGATAGCTTCGCATTTATCTTCATAACAACTCTGTGTGGTGAGCGCTATTATTATCCTCATTTTGCAAATCAGGAAACTGAGGCAGATAAGAAGTTAAGTGAGTTGCCCAGGGTCACACAGTTGGCAGGATTTGAATTCGGGTCTTCCCGATTGTAGGTCACAGCACTATAAAACTACACAGGATCTGCACAGGGAGTCCTAAATTTAAGGACTTTTACTGGGCTTCCTGACCTTCCCCAAGGGTCGTTCAGCGCTCTGGTCCTTTGTTCAGGTGAATTTGCCCCAGATACCTCTCTCAATCCAGAGTCTTGGCTTTCCTTCCCACACTCCCCCCACACCCCGCCCCGAAGCTGCTACCAGGTCACCTCAGTCGAGGCTCTTGAGAAGGTGAATGGTGGGGAATTGGAGAGTGAGAAAATCCCCCAAAGCGAGAATGAGAGGCAGGAGGGAGGAGTGGCTAGGACACTGGATTTGTGGTAAGGAAGACCTGAGATCGAATCCTCCCTTTGATCTTTAGTAGCCCCATGTCCCAAGGCAAAGCAATGTCTTGCTAAGCTTTAGTTTCCTCAGCTTTTCTTTTTTTCTTTTTTTGGCTAGGCAATGGAGTTAAGTGACTTGCCCAGGGTCACATAGTTAGTGTCAAATGTCTGAGGCTGGATTTGAACTCAGGTCCTCCTGCCTCCAGTGCCAGTGCTCTATCCACTGTGCCACCTAGCTGCCCTGCTTCCTCAGCTTTTAAAAGGGGATAGTGACACCTGTCCTGTCTATTCCCTGGTTTACTGTGAGGCCCAAATGAGGCAAGAGATGTAAAGTGCATTTGGTGACTGAAATGCCATGTATTTTTTGTTTGTTTGTTTGTTTTTTGTTTTTTGTTTTAGGCAATTGGGGTTAAGTGACTTGCCCAGGGTCACACAGCTAGTAAGTACCAAGTGTTTGGTCTGAGGCCGGATGAAATGCCATGTAATAAATGCCATGTAATAATGTCATTTTTGGACATTATTCAGTCTTATCGTTCAGTTGTATCCAGCTCATTGTGACCACATTTGGGGTTTTCTTGGCAAAGATACTGGAGTGGTGTGCCATTTCCCTCTCCAGCTCATTTGACAGTTGAGGAAACTGAGGCAAACAAGGTCACATACCTAGTGAGTGTCTGAGGCTGGATTTAAACTCAGGAAGAGTTTTCCTTGCTCCGGGGCAGGCCAGCACTCTGTGCACTATGGCGCCATCTAGCTGCCACAATGACAACGAAAATCTCTACTCCCTGGTTTTACTGAGGCTCAAATGATTCAATGTATGTGAAGTGCATTTAATAACTTTAAATTCTGTGTAATAAATGCTACCAAGTAAATTATTATTTACTATGTATTTTATTGCATACAACATACATAAAGTAGCAAACCTCAATCTGTTATTTAAATACATAACAACTATTTTATACACTGTTTTAATATGCCTTACGTATAAACAGGATAGCCTGAATTCAAATCTGGCCTCAGATACTTACTAGCTGTGTGATCCTGGGCAAGTCTCTTGACATATTTGCCTCAGTTTCCTCATCTGTAAAATGAGCTGGAGAAGGAAACGGCAAACCACTCTTCACCAAGAAAACCCCAAATGGGGTCACAAAAAGTCAGACATGACTGAAAATGACTGAACAATAACAAATAGATACACTTCACACATAGTTTTAACAGCCTCTCCCACAAAGACTACATGGTTACTGTATCTTTAAGAGAGAAAAAGATCTTGAGGGATTTTGAATTTGATTGTTACTCTAGAAAGAATTACTTGTTATTCCTAAAGAGAGATTGAGTGAGGTATAGATAATAATAATGACAATAGCTAGCATTTATTTTTCAAAAATTTTGCACATTGCATCCAGCAAAGGAAACCAAGGAGCAGTCAGACAGCTAAGTAAGAAAACTAAATGCAGTCATGGAAACCCAGAGAGGAGACATTATTCAGGAGGAGGCCATGACTGACCAAGGCATCTACTGCAGAGAGGTCAAGAAGGCTGAGGACTGAGAAAAGTCCATTTGATTTGGCACCAAGATCATTGGTAAGTCAACAAATCAACAGGCATTTCTCAAACACCTACTATGTGCCAGGCACTGTGCTTAGCACTGGGGATATTAAGAAAGGCAAAAACAGTCCCTGCCCTCAAGGAGCATATATTCTAATGGTGGAGACATGGAAACCACTATGGACAAGCCAAGATATATACGGGATAAATTAGACGTAATCTCAGATTGAAGGGCACAGGCATTAAGCAGGGATCCGGACAGACTTTTTGTGGAAGCTGGGATTTTAGTTCAGACTTGAAAGGAACCAGGAAAAGTAGGGAAGGTGGAAGGGAGGAGGGAAGGCATCCCAGGCATGGCAAACTTTAGAGAGAGAGCACCTTCAGGTGAATGACGAGGTCAGAAATCAGGTTTGGAGATTAATAATAATTAATAATAATCAGTTAGAAGACAGTGAGAAGAGAGGAAATATAGACAAGGAGTCTAGGCAGAACAGACAGAGGCTAGATGGTAAGCACGGGACCCCCAGAACCCAAAGCAATTGCCAGCTTTATGATCTCACCAGCCATATCCGGGGAGTGAGGGTTGGGTATGGGGGGAATGATGGGAACTCCCATAGTGCAGAGGTCAACCTCTCAGGAGAGTGAGTGGGGCAGGGGGTGCTCAGGCAGGAGGGTACTTGTGGAAGAAGGGAAAGCTGTACCACTGGGAATGGAGGCATTGAGCAGACATGTGAGGCCCCCCAGTAGAAGGGTAAAAGCCTGGCTACCTCTCCTCCCCAGCTTCTTCACGATGATGAGGCAGGAGAGACGGGCAGGCAACTCCACCAGTCTCAACACAGCTGGGATCTGTGCATGTTCATCAGAAGCTTCTGCACTTGGGAACTCAGCCCTAAATAGCCAAAACCGATGGAGAACCTGGAACCCACAGGAGCGCGGCCTCAGAGGAGGATCCCCTGCCAGGTTCTGTGCTCCAGGGCCTACACCAGAGCCGCCCATCTGTCTGCCCTCTTAAAAGGGCGGCACAAGACCTGGGTTCGAATCCCACCCCTGCTGTTTGCTCTCTGTGATGTTCTCTTCTAGAAAATGAAAGGATTGGCCTCAGTGGCCTCTGAGATTTCTTCTTGCTGTAAATGGATGATCCTATGAGAGGTAGGATCTTCTCGTAGATTTTGAGATAATGAGGAAACTACCTTAGCACTGATCTGTTTCTTTAATAGAAAAGTGGGGCATTGCAGACTGATGGCCATTTTTGGAGTTAAGAAGGCCTGGGTTCAAGTCTAGCCTCTGACACATATGTCTGAGTCACTCGGGGGTGTGAAATGGTTCAGGTTTCTTCCTCTCTCTGTGCCTCAATTTCCTCATCTGTGAAATGGGGGAGTTACAATGGATAGCCTCCGGGGTTCCTCTAAATCTATGACCCTATCTCTTCATTTCTCAGTGGTCCAGGTGACTCCTGCCTAGGACTTTAAGCTGCAGACTCCTGATCCACATGGGTGGAGGTGGTTGGTACATGGGAGTTTCCCAGGTGCAATGGAACAGGACCAACAGCTTTTTTTCTTTATTATTGCTTTTCCTGGTGTCAGAGAGAGATGGAGCTTCTTGGCAAGTCAGCAGTTAGATCCCAAAGACTTCTTCCTGCTCTGGAGGATTGGGGACTCTTTGGACAGAGCTGTCTGGGCCTGCCCTTTGAAACGCAAGGCCCAAGGCCAGACTGGAACTGAGTAGGAAGGCTGCTGGCCTGGAAGTCCAAAGCCCTGGGTTCTACAAACTTGACATGCTCTTGTGTGAGTCACTTCCCTGGGGTAGGCCAGCAAGGGGGTTAAGTGAGGAGTCCTGAGTGTGAATCTTGGTTATGCTACTAATCTGTGTGGCCTTGGGCAAATCACTGAGTTTTGCTGGGTTTTTGGTTCTTCATTTAAAAAATGAGGGGATTGGTCCAGATGACCTCTAAAGACTCCCTCTCTGGGCCTTAGCTTCCTCACTTCTAAAATAGGGAGGGCCATAAGATCATAGGTCTAGTCCTGGAAAGGAGCTGAGAGATTACCTAGATCAACCCTCTCATTTGACCGATGAAGTCCAGAGGGTCCAGTAACTTATCCAAGGTCATATCGATAGGAAGCAATAGCTAGATAATCGCTAAGGTCCCTTCCAACTTTAGCATCTGCAAAATGGGAGACCAGTTAGGGAGGCCCAGAAAATTGTGAGTGGCCCTTAATAAAGGTTTATTGACTGACTGATTGACTAGTGGATCAGACCAAGGGAGGTAGAAGGAAAACAGGATCGCAGAGAAGGTTGAGAACTGACCTGAGCTGGAGCGAGGCTGAGACCTGTTCTCCTACCTCACCCAGCTGTGTTGTTTCTGATTTGATGTTCTCTTTTTCCTTGTAAAGAGCTATCCTTGATCGAGGTTGCCCAGGGAAAGAGAGAGTAGCTGCCGAGTCTAGGGAAGAGGCAGAAGAAAGGGCGATGCGTGGGATGCTAGACTTAGAACCGGAATGAATCTCAGAGGCTCTCTGATCTAACTGTCCCCATTTTACAGATGAGAAACTGAGGCCAAGAGTTGTGAAGGAGTAGGATTCAAACCCAGACCCTTTGCCTCCAGATCTTACACTCATGCTGATGCATGACAGTGAAATACTTGCCCAAGATCATTGGAGTCAGGATTTGAAACTGGGTCCCTTGACTCCAAAGCTAGTGCTCGTGCTCTTCCCACTGTACCGGGCATTCTGCTGGGGTTAAAGGCAACCTTCATTAACTCCAGGGGTCAAGAAGCTGAGTTAGGAATCAAGAAAGTTGGGGGCAAGGGAGGGGTCAGGGGTCTGGGCCAGGGATTCGATACCAGCCAGACTGAGAAATGGAGAAAGAGGAAACCCCGGGCCCAAAGTCGAGAGCTCTCCCCGACGTTTGAGAGGTTGCTGGGGCCTTGGGCAGCTTAACAGGGCCGGAAGGCCAGGCCAGAATCCTTTACAGAGTGTTGGAAGAGCACAGAAGGGCCTTGGAGAACACGTGGTCCAGCCCCACTCCTTCCACCTCATTCGCAGCGGGGAATGTGAGTGACTCATTGAAAGGATCCTAGCAGATTGGCATGTGAGTCCAGAGCCTCGCTCCCCCTCTTCCTTCTCCTTTCTTCCTTCCTCCTCCTTTGCATACCTTTCCTCCTGCTCTTCTTCCTCATCCCTCCCTCTTGCTCTTTCCCCCTCTGTGCCTTCTCCTTCTCTTCCTCATCTCTTTTTCCTGCTCTTCCTCCTTTTTACTCCACCCTCCTTTTCCTCCTTCCCTTTCATTCTCCCCTACCCCTTTTGCCTCCTCTGCTTCTCAGGGCCTGAGGGATTCCCAGTTCTTCTTTCCCCAGACTTCCCAGCCTGTTTTCCTAGCATCTCTCCAGGATGCCCAGAGTTCTCTCCTTTCCTCCCTTCTACCCACAGAATGACAGGAAAGGAATGAGTCTTCCCACCAGGAATCTTCCTGAGTCAAGGGAGTCATTTATTTTAAAAGCAGCAAGAACATACCACACGTAGGTCAGGATCAGGGCTATCTTCCTCAGGTGAGGCCTTTGCAGGATGTCCAGGACTGTTCCATAGGGGATGTTCTCACAGATCAGCTGTAAGAAGTGCAGGCAAATAGGTCATTAAAGATCCTGACTTGCTCTTCTGTACCTCTCCTCCCTTCCCAGCTTTCCTCTGCTAGTAGGGATCCTCATTTGTGAAGTCACTTGACAAGCATTTACCGAGTACCTACTATGTCCAGGCACTATGGAAATAATCAATCCATCCATCTGTCCATCTGTCCATCCATCCATTTGTCTGTTCATCTGTCTGTCTATCCATTCATTCATCCATCCATCCATCCATCCATCTGTTCACCTGTCCATCCATCAATCCACTTCCTCTCCTCTCACTCCCCTCTAAACTTTCTGAGTCTGGGTTCCAACCTCATTCAACCGAAACTTCTGTGTCCAAAGTTACCAATGGTCTCTCCATTGCCAGATCTAATGACTTGTATCCAGTCCTTGTCTTTCTTGACCTCTCTGCAGCCTTTGACCATGTTGATCACTCCCTTCTCTTGGTGTTCATGACATTCCTCTCCTACCTGTCTGACCATTCCTTCTTAGTCTCCTTTGATGGGCCTTCATCCATGCTCTGCCCAATGACTGTAGGAGTCCTTCAAGGTTCTGGCCTGGTCCCTTTTCTCCTTTCCGTCCATACTCCCTTACTTGGTAAGTCTGTCTTCTGAGATCTAGCCCCACATCACCAGGGCTGTGTGAAATGTTTTTAAACCTTTAGATCCTATATGAACGATAGCTCTTCTTATGATTCCCTAAAGGGAGAAGCCTGTACTGTATACCCTGTAAAGTCTCCTTCTACCTCGAAATCGACGTGTACTTAAATCTATAATGCATACTTAGAGAGACAAACAGACAGACAAACAAAAAACCCAACACTGACCACATCTGAGTGTGCCAGTCTCATCCTGAAGCCAGAGGCCCATGCTTCTCTACCAGGAAGAGGAGCATGAGACCTTTTTCATGAGAAGCCCACCCCTGTTCAACCACAGCTCAGAGGGCACTTGATGATTTAGCCCCTGGTCGCCACAGCAAATCTTTGAGGTCAGGAAGAGGAAGACTCTGAAAACCCCCTCAAAGCATAAGCCGTTTTTGCATTTTTTATTTCTATCTCCAGCAGTGAACAATGTCTCATACAGACTAGACAATCAATGTTCATTGAACTGAATTGAGTCTCCATTTTACTAATGAGGAAAGTCAGAGCAAGAAGTGAGTTGCCCTGGGTCGTGTGGTGACTGGTGATAGAGTCATATGGTATGTACTGGAGCTGGGACTTAAATCAGGTCCTCTAGCTTCGGGTCTAGTGTGCTGCCCACTACACCAGACTGCCTGGGCTCTTGGGAATCCATCTCTCCCTTCACCAAACTCCAAGAGTCTGGATCATGCAACCGAGCACCTAATTAGGTTCCATTCTGCACTTTGATCCAGTGGTTTTGTGGGCATGAGCCAGCTCTTTCTCTTGTCCGCCCTCAAAGTGCCTAGGACAGGGTTGCTGAATTTTCTTCCTTTCGACTTTGAATGTTGCACCATCTTGGTTCTGTCACGCTTCTTGGGCCATTCTTCTGTCCCTTTCAATGGCAGCCTTTCCTCCTTCCATCAGAGGCAGCTGGTGGTGCAGTGTTCCGAGTGCTGGGTCTGGAGTCAGGAAGGCCTGAGTTCATATGCAGCCTCCGACACTCTTTCTAGCTGTGTGACCCTAGGCAAGTTACTGGCCCTCTGTTTGCCTCAGTTTCCTCAACTGTGAAGGAGGTATGAATAACAGCACCTACCTCCCAGGGTTGCTTTGAGGTTCAAATGAGGTATTTATAAAAAGTGCTTAGCTTAGTGCCAGGCATGTACAAATGCTTCTTCTTTTCCCCTCCCTTTCCTCTAATCCCTCGAACAATCAGATTCATCTGATTCTTCCGTGTAGCCCCTGTAGCATCAGCAATGGACCAGATGCCTGCTGTGTGTAAGACATGGTGCTGAGTGCTGGGGCTATAAAGACAGAGCTGCTGCATGCACTCAGAGAGGTTACCTCCTACTAGGAAGTTATGACTCAGGGTCATAGATTGAGGCTAGAAAGAATCTTAGAGGATATCGAGTCCAATCCTCTCATTTTACAAATGGGGAAACCAAGGTACAGAGAGATCATGATCAAAGGATACAAAACCATAGATTTGGAGCTGAAAAGGAATCATCCAGTCCATCCCACTCCCTATTTGACAGACAGATAAGGAAACTGAGGCCGAGTGTTTAAGTGACTTGGCCAAGGCAACACAACTAGTCTTCTTGACTTGGAGTCCAATGCTGTCTTCCCTAAACCACAGAGATGACATCCAAGTAACGATGCACAAGCAAGCTACGTACAAAATAAATTGGAGATAATCACAGAGGGAAGGCGCCAATGTCAATGGGATAGAGAAAGGTTTCCTGTGGAAGATGGGCTTTTATTTGGGACTTGCAAGAAGCCAGAGAAGTCAGGAGGCAGAGATGAAGAGGAAGAGAATTTCGGGTGTAGGAGAGAGCCAGTGGAAACGCTCAGACTCAAGAGATGGAGTGCCTCGTGTGAAGGGCGGCAAGGCGGCCAATGTCACTGAACCTGAGAGTTCATGGAGAGGAGGAAGACGTCCAAAGACTGAAAGGGGAGGAGGGAGCCAGGTCATGAAGGACTTTGGGCGCCAAACAGCATTTGGTATTTGATCCTGGAGGCTATAGGAGCCCCTGGAATTTATTCAGCAGGGGAGTGACATGGTCCGACCTGTGCTTTAAGAAAATCACTTTAGTGGCGGAATGGAGGATGGGCCGGAGTGGGGAGAGATTTGGGGCAGGCAGAACCACCGGTAGCTGTTGTAACAATCCAGGTGTGAGGTGATGAGAGCCCCGCTAGACTGGATATGGGATTAGATGGTGTGAAAGCCTTCAGGGGCTCCTTTTTGCAAATCCAACCATTTACAAACCTCTATCGAGTGATCATCTCATCAACAAACATTTACTAGGTGCCTGAAAGATGCTGACTCTAGGGTTGCAAGAAGAAAGTGAGAGGGCCTTTGTCCTCAAGGGACTTATATCTGCCCAGAAGGCATCCAGTCCTAGCTGACATTCCCAGCTTTGTGTCCTACTCCTTGCTTTCCCAGACTTTCTTCTTCATCCATTCTGGCTAACTCATTTTTCTGGGAATGCCACTTTTCATTTCTTGACTTCATTCTTCGTTTCATTCTGGAATTTCCCAGTCCTAATTTCATATTGTGTCCTTCCTTCAAGGCCCAGCTCAAATTCTTCTTTTCCCGTGAAATCATCCTTTATAGTTCTAGCTCACCATGACATCTTCTTCCTTTCAATTAATAGCAATTATCATTATCATTATTATCATTAACAACAATAATCTTTAGAGCAGCCCCCATCGATTAAGTGTTCTATAACTGGCAAAGCATTTTTCTCAGTACCACTTAGTGAGCTAGGTAATGCCAATATTGTTAGCTTTATTTCATAGGTCAGAAAACTGTGCCTCAGAGACTTGCCTGTGGTCAAATATTAAGTGGCCCAGTAGTGACTATACATCTTTTTTGTCTTGTAGAGAAACAATGAGGTTTTCTTCTGATTAGGTTATAGCTCAAAAAGCAGCTGTGGAGTAAGGATTGGGGAATGGTCTTGGAATCAGTAAGGCTTCTGCCTCTGACACATACTAGCTATATGACCCTTGGAAAGTCACTTAACCTCCTAGTGCATAGCCAGCTTATAAGACCATATGTTACAGAAGAGGCACTGATCTTCATTGGCATAGGGAGTTTCCTATACCATGGAAATTACAGTCTATTCAACAGAAAGATGCAGTGCCAAAGTTAGATGGATTTGCTGCTGATAGATATATATTACGAAGGGAGTACCAGACAACTATTTGACTTAGGGTTAGACATTCCCAAGCTTCTCTCTGGTTTAAAATGAAAACGAATTTGAGGTAGAACAAAATTCAAGTGATGGAGACAAGAGTCTCCCTTCATTTTGCTTTCATTCCTGCCTTCATATCTGTTAGCTACAAAGCCCCATATTTGATGCTTCATTTTAGAAAGCATAAAGAACTCTTGTCTTTCCACAGGGTGGGTTTTTTTTTTTATCTGTACTATTATTTGGCAGGAAACCCATGATGCCTTGAAGGCAGGGACCTGTGTCTTATTCACCTTTACCCCCAGGGCCAAATACTAAAGAAGATGCTTTATTCCTAGCAGCTACTCGTTCAATTTCTGCCTAGCTGATGGATGGAGAGTTCAGAACAATACAGGCTTGGGCCCTGACAACTGTCAGTGTTAATTACTCCCTAGCAAGGTAGAATGCTAAATGGGGTGATTCAGGGAAGCTAAAGCTTGCTGTTCTCCTTCCTTTTCCCCACTCATCCCACCTCTAGGTATAGAATCTGTCTCATCTCCTTTCTTTTTTAAAAAATTAATTATTTTTTATTAATTAATTTATTGTTAGTTTTCAACATTCACTTCCATAAGCTTTTGAGTTTTAAATTTTCTCCCTCTCCTTCCCTGCTTCCCTCCCCAAGATGGCATGCAATCTGATTCATCTCTTTTCTTAGTGCTCCCTCTGGACCAATCTCAGGGACAAAGATAGGGGTCCCCTAGAGGCCTCATGTGGTACATTCCAGGATGGTTAGAGGCTCAAAGGCATGCCCTCCATGAATAGGGATGGAGGCAGGGAGGATAACGAGGAGGCTCAGATCTGGGCAGGCAGCTTACCTGCTGGAGGAGCGCAGGGGGTATGGTTCCCTTATTGACAGAGGCTGCCGTGCATAGGACACACTTTGCCTTTTCCATTTTTCCTCTCATCATCTGCCACAATGGGGACTCAGGAAGAATCCTGTGGAGGGTGTGCAGGGGCTAAGGTTTTCCTGACACTGAGTCAGGGAAGGCTTCTCTCCACCTAGGCCGGCTTCCTGTCCTTTCCCCACCTTCCCACCCCTTTGAGGACAGCTATCCCTGGGGGCTGGTTCCATCTCACCTTGGTCCTTGTGGGAGTGATAAAATGAGAAGGCTCTGGGCCACTCTGCGACACAGGGAGGGTATCCTATCAGGGGAAAGGGGACCATATTGCCAGGTTAAGCTATGCCACAAGGACACTTGATCAGGGCTCTGGAGATCCTGAGCCCCAAGTCTCAAGTCTAGCTTGAAACAGTTTCTGAGCCTGGTCTAAGCTATCTACGATACAAACATAGGAAAAGTATAGATTCGTGGCGGGGGTGGGGGGGGGGGTGGGGGGGGGAGAGTGCCAGGGAAGCAACAGAGAAAAAGGGCTGTCTCTGGGGTTAGAGGGCCTGGGTTTGAATCCCACCTTTATCTCTTAATGACCCTATGACCTTGGGAAAGTCACTTAGCCCTTCTAAAATGGTTTCCTTATCTGTAAAATGAGGGGATTAGTCCAGACGCCCCGGAGGTCCTTTGAGCTTTCGCTCTATGGTCCTAGACAAGGTCTAGAAATGTTGCTAGCCCAGCCATGGGAAATCCTGGCCCCGGAACCTGGGTCCTAGCTGAAAGCGGGGGGTGGGGCACTGATAGAATTCCGGGCCCTGCCTTCCTCCCCACTTCAGTTGCTGTTTCCCTGAGATTCTGGGGTTGGGGGGCCACCATGGGGGAGCTGTGTATAGCAAGAAGAGGAGGATAGTCCTTATGGAGGGAGGTTGTCTGGATAGATGCATTTGGGGGCACAGATAGGACTCCAACCTCTTCATTTATGACATTTCTTTGACAAGTTGCCTTTCTGTCCCTCTGGGAGCTTCCGGTGGTATATCCCTCGATCATCATAGGTGGATGAGGCTTTCTCTTCTGAATGTCTCCCCCTTCCCCACTTCTCATTGCAAAAGCATAAGGACTCAAACTTTGCCCAAGAATTAGCCTGATCTTTCCCCAGGCCCTCCCTTCCCTCTGTACCTCTGGGGCCCTCACCAGATATAGGGGATCAGGAAGATCACCGGGGCACTTCCGGTCGGCTGGAGCAGTCTCCAGTGAGGGATGGAGTAGGCCAGGGCGAAAGGATCAAGAGGCCCAGGACAAAAAAGCAGTGCCCAAGGATGATGGTGTGGGCTCTTTGGGTGATGACCAACCATTTTGTAGCTGGAGGAAGAGTCCATAGGAGACCATCACTGGGACTGCCATTTCTGCCACAGCCTTGGCCTCCCTCAAACCATGCTCTGGTGGGTGTCACAATCTGCAGCCTCCTTGACTTTCCAAATCTGCAGGAACAGTCTTTGGAACTCAGAATCCACATGGGACCAGTGCCACGACCAGCACTTACACAAAGTGGTTAGGACTGTGCTCTGGTCAGTCAGATGGGGTTTGGATTGTATTCTTTCAAGATCCCTACCCTGTCTGGGTCCAGGCACCACTTACCCCATGGGAACTTGGAGCCCCAAATCAGTCCTCCATCCCAGCCCAGTCTGCCCTTCCCATACCTTCCAGAGGATCGGCCGAGGGCCAACCACCTTAGAACTGGAGCCAAGGCAGCAGCCAGCAGAGCAGGGAAGCTTAGCCAAGACTGAAGGCCAGAAGCAACAAAGACCTCGGTCTATCTCCAGAAGCCAAAGGATCGTAGATGTAGGGCAGGAAAGGACCTCAGAGGCTGAGTTCCACCCCCTTGTCTCTGATTCTTTGTATTTCAGGCACTGGATTTGAAATTGGAGGAACCTGACCTGGTCCAAATGCCACCGCTGCCACTAACTAGCTGTGTGACCTTGGGAAAGTCACTTAACTTCCTTGGGCCTCAGATTCTGTGAAATTAAGGACTTAAACTAGGAGATCTCTAAGGTCCCTTTCAGCTCTGAATCCTTGGACACTGAGCAATGCTGGTCCTGAATTATCAAAGTTAAAACTCACATCCTTTCTTATCTTTCCTTTCTATCAATAATCAGTAAACTGCAATAATAAAATGTGATGGGCATTACCAGTCTGAATCACTCTCATGCCATTTTTTTACCTTTGTGAAGGTTTCTTTGGGTATTTATTGGACTCCCAAAATATATGAGTAGCAAAAAATAAAAAAAACCCAATATCCCAAGGTATCTCTGAAGGTACCAAGCTAAGGATGAGGATGAAAGGCTAACTGGGAGTGCCACACATATATCTGAGATGGTTCTGGAGAAGCCTTGTGGGTCAGGGGCATGAAGGGACAGCCCCAGGAGTGTGCTGCTCCATGCAGCAGGTGGTATGTATGTTTGTTTGTTTGTTTGTGAGGTGGGGAATAGTTTGCTGTCTCTCCATTGAGGAGCTGGGGTGCTGAAGGGTTCATTCTTAAGAACCATGTGCCTCCCCTTCCCAGTGGATCTGTTTAGGTACTTCCAGGTGGAAAGGGAAAGTGGCTGATCCTACAGGAAAGAGGGTTGGGAAAGAGTTCCAGGAGGTTTCCTACTCTTCCATCAGTCCTGTCCAAACTCTAAAACAACTCCACACCCCAAAGAATGGCACTGGAGTCATCTTTTGATGGGGATTATAGCCACAGGGTACTTCCCCTAATTTTTTTTTTTTGGCAAGGCCATCAGGGTTAAGTGACCTGCCCAGGGTCACACAGCTAGTAAGTATCAAGTGTCTGAAGCCGAATTTGAACTTAAGTCCTCCTGACTCCAGAGCTGGCGCTCTATCCATTGTGTCACCTAGCTGCCCCCTTCCCCCATTTTTTTAGACATTGCACCACATATGCCAACGTCAATACTAAGATATTAATGTAAGCAATAAATACACAGTATTACAGCAAACAATACTCTATGGGATTCAGATTGGGCTTAACAAAAATCCAAAACAATATGTGAATTTAAGTAATGAAAACAATACCAATAATTTTTTTTTTAATGTATAAACACTCAACTAAGCAAAATCATTCCTAAGGTATTTATGGATAAAACTGGAAGGAGGACAACAACAAAAGATGGAAAAGATCTGCAACACTCTTTTCACCATAAAGCACAGTGGAACCACCGCACTTGGACTCTAACATTAGAGTTTTGGCTGTGCTTCTGGAAGAAATGGAAATGGCATTTTAAAAAAAGAGAGATGGGAAAAGCAATTGGAGTTGACTGAGTGCATAGAGGAGCTGAAGACAATACAATTTCATGGGAAGTGAATGACCAATCCTCAAAGCATTTGAAGGAGGGGAAAGATATTAAATGTGTAAACAAGTCTCAGACCTCATCAAGAAGTGCAAAAAAAGGAAACCAAGAGAAAATCAGTAACTATTGACCCAAATACATATTTGATAAGGATATTAGAAAGGAGTAGACAAGTTTTTGCAAGCAACATTCCGTGGTAGGATATATTTGAGGATTAAAGGATCCTATATATAGAGTTGGAAGGGACCTAAGATGAGGTCACCTAGTCTATCCTTCTCTTTTTATTTATTTATTTGTTTGTTTGTTTGTTTGTTAATTAATTAATTTATTTATTGTTTTTGTTAGGCAATAGTTAAGTGACCTGCCTAGGTTACACAGCTAGTAAGTGTTACGTGTCTGAAATCAGATTTGAACTCAGGTCCTCCTGACTCCAGGGCCGGTGCTCTATCCATTGCTCCACCTAGCTGCCCCTACCCCTCTCTTTTTAAAGAAAGGAAACAAAGACCTAGAAAGGTTAAAAATAAATGAACCAAGGTCACAAAGGTAGCAAGTAGCAAAACCAAGAATGTACGTCCAAGACTGTCTCCTTTTGCCAGAAGATCATGAACTGCTTTATATTCTGATGATGTACCAATATAATAAGCCTTCCAAGAGAGAGTAGTAGGAGTTGCAAGTTAAGCAACTGAACTCTGTTTTGAGTTGTATTGTTAATGGGTGTCATTTTTGTCTTGTCTTAGCATTTATTTCGTGTGTAGGAAATAAATATCTGCCCTTATGTGATTTATACTGTACATTCAGTACTTTTCTTTCCTACCTTTGGAGGGACTATAGACATGAATCTCAACCTAAGTTTTCAATAACTTGTCCTTGGAGTGCCAGGGTGGGGGTTTAATGAGCCAAAGAATGTAAGAAAAGGGAACTTCACCTTACTTTCATTAGGGGCCAGGCTCCTTAGGACTGAATCCAATATAGATGGTGAGAGTGGGTCCAGGCCAGATAAACCCTTTAGTGGAAAGGGATTGGGTGCAGTATCTTTTGGACACAGTTTTCTCTTAACATAAGAAATGTAACAGAGATAACTTGGTTCTAAAATTTTCTGATAATGAACATCCTGCAAGGCTTAAGACAAGGAGACACTCCCCTGGAATGGAGGAGACCTAGGACAGAGTCCAAGTTGAAGAGGGATTCTCTATAGATGGGGAGGTCCTCCAGATATTCTTGCTTGTGATGGCCTTATGCTGACTGCATCAAGCTGCAGTGTGACAGAGCCTCCTGGAAGAGATCTGTCAGCAGTTTTGCCTGACCATCCACATAGGAAAGACCAAGTGGATGAAGAATGCCTTTGTCCAGACTATGCCCTGAAACTGGATGGAAAACAGAGTTTGTCCTGTTGCTCTTTAGGCATTTTCAGTTGTGTCTGACTCTTAATGACCCCGTTTGGGGTTTTCTTGGCAAAGATACTGGAGTGGTTTGCCATTTCCTTCTCCAGCTCATTTTACAGATGAGGAAACCGAGGCAGACAGGGTGAAGTGATTTTCCCTGGAGTGTCTGGGGCCAGATTTGAACTCAGATAAGTCTTCCTGACTCCAAGCCTGGAGCTCTATCCACTGGGCCACCTAGCTGCCCATCAACAGAGTTTGTTCATTAGCATGCAAATATCTTGGGTAGACACTGCCAAAAGACAACAACTTGGGCACAGAGCTGAACAGGAGGAAGAAAATGGGATGGATTACTTTTGGGGAAATGCTCAATTCTTTTAATGGCTCCAAATTTCTCCAAAGAGCTGAAAATGTGTATCATCAAGGGGGTTATGGAGGGACACATGGTGGGTGTGAATAGGCTGAAACACATTACAGAAGAAAATATGGTGGAAAACAAGAATGAAAGGGGTCACCAAAGAAGGTGATGATTGGGAAAGAAGACAAGCTAGTTACATGTGTAAAAGCAAGGGAGAATCAAGGGACAACCCATATGTTCCCCTGGTATCATCACGATGTCAAGACAGAGAGAGGAAGGCCCCCACTATATTGGGTGGTCCCTTTGGGGCAAACTTATGCAAAGACATGTACTAGAGTCACACAGGATGAGCAGGTAGGTTTGTGGTCTGCATCCCTGGATAGGTGGGGGGGGGGCATTCATATTGATGAGATCCCAGATCTCATTGGGTATTGGGCATTGGGTATTGGGTATTGGGCATTCCATCCATTGGTGCAAAGCATACTCATTCTACAGCTTGATAGGTGATCTTAAGGAATTTCTAGGGCCAAAGAATTCAGCACCCTGGGTTCAACCTGGCAATCAGCATCTCTGAACTTGACTGAACTGGTTCATAAATGAGACACGCAGGCTGTCATTGGCCCATACTAAAAACCTTTTCAACTGGATAGAGCCTTCAGGAGAAGCTTCAGTGATTGCCTATCACCTGAAGGATAGAATACAGACTCTTAAAGCCTTCACACTCTTATCTCCAACCTACCTTTCTGAGTTGATTTCATATGATTGTTCAGCCAAACATGGCATTCCACTTCCCACCTTTGTACAGGCTGTGCATCCCTAGCTGGAATGACTTCCCTCCTCATCTCTACCTCTGTGAATCCTTAGTTCCCTCCAAGGCTCAGCTCAAGTGTTGTGTCCTACAAAACGTAGGCTGCTCCAGTGGTCAGTGCTCTCTCTTCCAGCTCCCATTATTCACTTCATATACCTTGTGAGTATTTTGTAGATACTTTGTGTCGGCTTATCTAGGTCCATAGCTTTTCTGTAACCCCACCAGAAAAATGTAAACTTCTCGAGGGCAGGCACTGTGTTTTTCTTTTTTTGCCTTTGTAACCCTCAGTCTGGGGGCACAGAACATGCACATAGCAGGTGCCTAATAAATATTTGTTGAGTTGGATTGAACTGAGCCTTTCAGAGCTTGCATTCCCTTGCTATAGCCTTTGAGAGTTTGTGGGGTGCAGGGGACGTGGTAGTGGGCTTAGTGAAAGGAAGAATTGGGTTTAAATGCCAACTCTGATACTATGTGACCTTGGATGATTCACCTAATTTCTCTGAGCCTCAGTTTACCTCTCTGTAAAATGCAAGAGTCAAACTAGATAATCCCAGAGGTGCCCTCTAGCTCTAAATCTGTGATTTTATGACCTTTGTGCCCTCACACAATTTGAATTCAGGGCATTTTTTCTGGCTGTCCCTCATGCCATGGAACATTCTCCCTTCTTCACTCTACCAACCTCCCTGGCTTCCTTTAAGTCCCAACTAAAATCCTACCTCCTACAAGAAGCTTTCCCAATTCCCTCTTAATTCTAGTGCCTTCCCTCTGTTAATTATTTCCTATTTATCCTGTATATAGTTCACTTTGTATATATTTGTTTGCATGTCATCTTCCTCATTAGATTGTAAGCTTCTTGAGGGCAGGGACTGTCTTTTACCTCTTTTTGTATCCCCAGCACTTAGTACAGTGCCTGGTACATAGTAGGAGCTTAATAAATGTTTATTGAGCTGAATTGAATTATAATTGAATTACAAAGACTGCCTCCTGTCATTGTGGGGAGCTCATATGATCTCCTGAGAGAGGAAGGCAGGCTTTAGGAAATGTGGCAGCCAACTCTCAGACCAGCCCCAAGGTGCTTTCATAGCCCAACTGGCTTACCTGTCACATAGGGTACCAGTGATCAAGGATCCAAACAGAAGGCCAGCCACCAAAACAGAATATGCTCTCAAGGGTTCAGAGGCTTTATTACAGACCAGGTTAAACTAGATAAGAAAACATTTCAAGGTGGGTTTTGTCATACAACGTTCTGCTGTCCAGGCAGCTGGGAGTAGATGGGGCTTTACTCTGACTTTTGAATGTGAGGCAGAAGGTGCATTAGCAGGGCCACAATCAGAAGACTCAGGTTCAAAGCCTGGCTCTGTCATTACTATCTGCATGACCTTGTTGGACAAGTCATTTAACTTCTCTGGGCCTTAGTATCCATCTCTGTAAGATGAGGGGTTTGGACTATCTGTCCTTTGAAGTCTTTTCTAAGCTCTAAATCTCTAGCTCTGTGGTCCTTAGCAGTATGCCCAGGGACTTGCCCCTGTAAATGCTCAGACTTTGAGGCATGGAACTTTGGGAACCTGCCTGTTTGGATTTGTGGAGATCACTCCTCCTGGACCCTGGCGTGGGATCCCTCAGCAGCTCTAACTCTCTTCTTACTGCTCACCTGGCCAACCACTCCTCAAGGCATTACCTTGGGCTTCATAGAAAGGAAGGTCAAGAGCCCCAAGTTCAAATCGAGCTCATCTATCAACTCCTTGGGCAAACTTGAATTTGCTCCTCTATAAAATGAGGGGCTTGGGTGGACTTGAGTATGTCTGAGGCTGGCTTCAAGATAATCTGTAGTGGTTGGGTAGGCTATGTGGAAATGAGGAGATAGCAAACCTCATTGACCAGGGACCACTCCCTGTGTTGGAGGTAGATCCAGCCATTTTGGCAATCTTCAATGTCGTTCAGGCCATACTTGACAATAGAGTCAAAGTCCCACTGGACGGGCAAGTACATCTGGCCTCCTCAAAGGGCCCATCAGTCTTTCTGGGCAGGGTCAGGTTGAATAGTTCGGTCATAGTCAAGTTGGGTTGGATGGCCAAAAGCCAAGTGGTGTTGTAGTGATGAGGCTGCTTCTTAAACATGAACACTCCACCAAACATAAAAAAAGCAGACAGGATATTGGGGATAGCCACTAGTCTCCTCTGAAATGTCCCAAACTCCCCTGCTGCCTTGAGAATATTTGTATACGTGACCTCATTACTATAGTTCTCACCCTAGGAAAGCAGCTGACCAGAGACCCCAAAAATGACCTGGTTGACTTTCTTTGTTCTGGAGCCCTTTTCTAACTTGGTCTGCATGGGGCATCCCAGGCGGAGGTGGAGGACTTGGAGGACGGAGACCCCTGCCAACCATGTGTGGGCAAGGTTGCTTCGCTCCTCTGGGCCTCAGTTTACTCACCTGTAAATTGAGGGGGGCTGGGCTAGCTGATCTCTGAGGTCCCTTCTAACTCTGATATTTTGTGGGTCAGGTCAAAGCCAGTTGTAGGGATAGATACCCTGTGTGGATCTGGTTAGCACTTTGGACCATTAAAGTTCTTTCACTGTCCCCCTCCTACTTTCCAACCAAACAACTCCTTCATTAGACAAGAAGTAACATGATAGAGTGGGGAGATAGCCAGCCTTGGCACCAAGAAGACCTGGGTTCAAGTCCTGTCTCTGACCCGTCCTGGCTGTGTGACCCTGGGCAAGTCCCAAGCAACGCTCTAAGGCTGTAAGCTGCAGAGGGAAAATGTCAACCTTCATCTGTGGAGGGCGTCTCCTAAGTCAATGAACTCATATGTTCGGTACCTCTGTCCTCTTATTCTCCCACATCCCATGGCAGAATGAGGACTGATCTTCCAGCTTAGAACCTGCTAGTTTATGGTGTGATCTTGGACTAGTCACCACACCTCTGGCTCTCATCCAGAAAATGGGAATATTGATCTTTCTACTAGTTACCTTACTGGGTTACCCATATGTAATCAAGCCAGGGTTAGATCCCAGGGCCCTTGACTCCACTTTTATCACAACCTGTGAGGATAGGGTAGGGTAGGGTAGGGTAGGATAGGGCAAGGGATATCATTTTAGCACGGGAAGTAAGCTTGGGAGGTAAGTGATTTACCTCCAGGGTTAGACAGCTTGTAATTGCCACAGCTGGGTCTAGAACACAGGTCCCCTTAATCCAGGGCTCCCTTCATTATACCGTACTTATTCATCCAGGAAGAAAGCAAAAAGGTTTTTTACTAGAGACAGAAAATGGCTCAGGGTAGGTGAGTGTGGGTGTGGAATACTGCATATTCTAAGGAGAGACACTTGGATCATAGATGTGTCTGATCATTAAATCGAGGGTTTTTTGTCATGTTTTAATTTTTTCTTTTCTTTTAAAACAAAGATGGCTAGGAGAGGGAGGAGGAGCTGGTTTGAAAATGAAGATGATATAAGAAAAAGTTATAATAAATTAAAAAAAATTATTTCTGAGAAGGAACCAATTACTCAAAGAGTATTTATTAATTTCTCTTTGCCAAGTGCTGTGCTAGGCATTAGGGATACAAGGCTATTTTCCCAGTGAGCATGAGGCAGGACCTTCCCAAAGAGCCTGTATGAGCTGATCCAAGGGAAACCATTAAGTTTATACCCGCAGGCTCAAGAAGCAATCTCCTCTCTCCCACTGTAGAGGATTTCACCAAATACCTGGTTTCTTTGACCTCTGACCTGGCTTACATAGGGTCTGTCCTATTGTGGGAACTCGGCCAGCTTCAAAATACCTCGGCTTCCTCTTCCCATGGACACCATTCATTCAGCAATTAATAAACACCCATTTTAGGCGAAATGCTAGTGGGGACATTGGGCCCTGGGGACGCCATGTCTTAATACTTGCTCCTCCTACCAGGTGAGTGTTTCTGGTGCCAGAAACAGGACCTGAGCTACTGCTACCTGGTCAGAAGGAAGTCAAGGGCCTTTCTGTCAACCACTCCCAGAATCTCATCAGAACTGCTGAATGTCTATCAGCGCTGGCTACCTTCCAGTCAGGCTCCACTTGACTTCATGCTTCTCATCAAGCTGAGAAACAGAGACAGGGCTGTCTCTAGAAACCAGCTCCATCAGATTCTTTCAACAAAGAAGATTCTCTGGGCTCGGGATAGCTTCATACTGGGGTGGAAGGGCAAGAAGTGGGGGAAGGACATAGGTTACTGACCACAGTCAGCCATGACTAGGCCTCACCAACTGAAAGGACCAACCATTGGCCCTTAGCCAACAAAGAGGAAGTCCATGTGGAGGAAAGGGATTCTCTATCCAATGATCGGGAAGCCTCTTGGGGAAGAGCCTTCTGCTACCGACTTCATCTCATTTTGTCTATGGATTTAGGGGAGCAAACTCACAGATGCCCCAAGTTAGAGGGGGACCAGGAAGGTGATGGGATTCCACGCTGCCACACGAGGCTTAGTTAAAGGAACTGCAAGTGTTACCGGAGCCAGAAAGGACATTAGAGATGCTCTAGGTCCAGAGGTCAGCAAGCTTGTTCTGAACAGGGCCAGAGAGTAAATATTTTAGGCTTTGTGGGCCAAGAGGCAACATCAAAGATAGTAAGTAGGTACTTAGGTAACAAGAAAGAAAACAAATTTGTTATTAATGACATCCAAAATACAATAATAATAACAATTGAGTATATTTTTGGGGGGGTTGACTAATGAGAAAAATGGAATTCTTTACTAGGGGGGACATTTCTCTTAATTGGGATTCAAAGTCAGTGCTTCCTATCATCAAAATCGATTGCAAATGTTCATCTGTTAATTCTGGTCAGTAATGAGATTTCACATGTTTCATCTTTGAAAATATCTCTTCACACAGATAAGCTCTGCCAGATTCTGATATCGCTCCATGAGCAAATGATTTTAATTGAACCAAAAGGCTAATACTTTTGAATACGTTTATTTTCTCTGGATTCATTTCTTTGGCTACTGCACTCAACCATCATTTAATTAATTCACCATCAGGACACTGCTTTCCTTTCTTCTTCCTTTCCTTACTTGACTAATAAATGAGCCCCTTGGGAAACTTACTTTGATTGTATTCTTATTTTCATTCTAATTTTTGTCAGGAAATTCTGTTGTGATGAGATAACATTTTCTAATTTTTCTGACTTGTTACCTGTGGGTTACAAATATTGTAATGAGCGCTTAGACTGGGAACCTTTTAGCATGGCTACGGTATCATCACATAATAAATAATAATTTGATGACCAAGTAATCCATACTCCATTGTGCCTTAATAGTGCAACATTTGAAGTCCGTTTTTTCCTCATTTACAGATGAAGAAACTGAAGCACAAAGAGTTTAAATGACTTAGAGTCACATGGCTTGTCATTGTTGATGGAATTAGAGGGAGGTTAGTCACTGACTGGCTAAAGGATTGGCCACACCTCAGGTAGTTCTCCCTTCCACCCTTTTTAAAAAATAAAATTTTAATTGATTCCCTCATGCTTTAAGATCATATTTTTTCCCAAATATATCTATCCTCCTATGCAAACTATCCATAAACCCTTCTCTGGAGCCAAGATTGGTCATTGCAATGATACAGCGTTCAACTGTGTTTCTTTGTTCTTTCCGTTTACATTGCTATAGTCATTGTGTATATCGTTTTCCTGGTTCTGCTTATTTAATTTTACATCAGTTCATGTAAGTCTTCTTACATTTCTTTCATTTCTTCGTATTCATCCTTTCTTTTGGCATATTCCTGTATGATTCTTTGTTTGGTCATTCCACAAATGATGTACACCTACATTGTTTCCTGTACTTTGTCACCACAAAAGTGCTGCAATGGATATTTGGGTATATTTGGAACTTTTCTCTATCTGACCCCATGCCTAACAGTAGGATTAATCTTTAGGTCCAATACTAAGAATCTCTCTCTCTCTCTCTCTCTCTCTCTCTCTCTCTCTCTTGCTCTCTCTCTCTCTCTCTCTCTCTCTCTCTCTCATTACAGATGACTTTCCAGAATGGTTGGACCAAATTCCACTAATACCATATGTGTGTTTGTCTTCCTGTAGCTCTTCCAACATGAACTAGCTCCATCTTTTGTAATCTTTTCAAACTTTTTGGGTATAAGGGAAACCTCACAATTGTTTTGATTTGCAGTTTTCTTTTTATTAGTGATTTGAAACAATCTTTCATATGGTTGTTTATAGTTTCTAATGATGCTTTTAAGAAGTCTTTGTTTATGTCCTCTGATCATTTGGTTATTAAGAATTGTGTCAAAAATATCAATGCTAATGTTGTACTCTACATTTTTCCACTCCAGTCTGCCAGAAACAATTTGATTCAACATTACCCAAGCACTTCTGGCTTGGCGAGAATTCCAAACTGGCATAGTTCCCCCATCCCCCTAGACATGATTCTTAGCCTTAAGATGATTTCTGGTGCCATTTATAGGAACTTTGAACAAGGCAAAGATCACAATATATAAAAACACAGTTTGAGTCAACATTCCAGAATTGCTGAATAATCAGCCATTGACGCCTTTCTCTGAGAACCACTCTGGGAAAAGACAGAGGGACCACCTTCCTTTGGTGGAGATCATTACTCTTTCTCAATGGAGAAAGGTGGGTCATGGTACCAGTCAGGTAGGTGGAGAAGCAATGGTTATGAACTGAGAGCTATTATTTGTTAAAAGGCTGGGCAGTGATCTTAATCCATTTCCCTAAGAAAAGTCTTTTTTTTTTTGTCCTAATCCTATTACCCACCTTCCCAGGGGGTAATCCCTTTTGAAAGGATTTTGGAAAGTGTTTTGGTGAAAAATATTATTTCCTAATATTTTCAACTTTACTGAAGAGAAGGTTTTTAATATACTTCCACAAATGGCTCTAGCAGCTATCTATTTGTGTTAATTCTCCATAAATCTTGGATATCAGATCTTGTTAAAGATAGGTGATGAAAATATTTTTGCCAAATTGAAAGTTACCTTTCTTATCATTTTGATTTTGTTCACACAAAAAGAAAAATATCCTGACACTCTATCCCCCACCTCCCCAAGAATATGTAAGGGTACTCTTCTACAGATTCAAATGCCACAGGTTCAAAAGGGAACACTCGTAGCTATGTAATTCAAACTCCCAGTGCTGTATCTCTGCTGTACTACTCATCGTCTCCAAAGATGTCATTTGCTCCTTTTCTGTGGAACCGCTACTGCCACCTACTGCTTCTCTACTGGACTGATCAGAGAAGGTTGTGCTCTATGAG